AGCTGTTGGCTCTGAATCCAGAGGCCTGGGTCCATTGCCTAGAACTGTAGCAGCAGTAGTTGGGACCGGTTATTCCTCTTCTGAGAATATGGAGATTTGCTAACTTAGGCACGCAGCTCTATTGCTCAGTCTTTGTTTTCAGTAGGCAGATAAACAACTAACTCCAGATACCTTCTGTATTCCAGAGATCTGTTAGTGCTAACTTGGCTTTTATGAAGCACTTTGATACAGCCTTACTCACAAGGGTCAAGAGAGATGCATAGAAGAAAGTAAGACATGGTGTGGGCTTCTCAAAGAAGACTCACAAAAGCAAAACATACCCAAGCATGTGCAGACCCTCGAAGGGAGAGTCACCAGTTGTACCTTTTGAATATGAGGTACATCACGCCTGAACTGGCGTGATGGCTCAGCAAGTTAGAATGCTTCCCTGCAAGTCTGGGGTTCTGAGTTTGAGCCTAGACACACATGGTGGAAGGAAAGAACTGACTCCCACAAATTGTCCTCTGAATACCATGTGTGCTGTGTGGTCTGCCTCTGCAAACACACACACACACACACACACACACACACACACACACACACATAATAATAATAATAACTATTATTATTATTATACTAATAAAGAAAAAGTGAGTTTATCTGCACATTTAAAGATTTGAAGAAAATATCCCCAGGACAGGTGGCTATTAGGAGGAGCCAAAGGGCAGTGGGCATGGCAAGAGGTGCAGGGCCATCTTCACTGATTTAGGGAAGTTGTAGGCAAGACATGCTTTGAGCACTAGAAGCCAAGACTGAGATACAGGAATTTCAAGAAAACTGGATTCCAACCCAACAGAGCTTTCTACCAACCAGAGTCATCAAAAAAAAAAAAAAAAAAAAAAAGGTTTTCTTATGCCAGGGCCCGCTGCCCATCATAGAACTTACTCCGCCAAGGCCATTTCTTGGCAGGGAAAGGGGAGCGAGGGGACTCCTAGAGAACAAGAGTCTGAGCCAATCTAAGACATTTCTAGAATCTTTAGGACCTAATATCCCAAGTTGTTACAGTACACCGTGTTACTTAGTGTTACAGTGTGTGTACAATGTACTGCCTCCTCCACAGTGCTGAGCCAGCCACTTCTCCGAGCAAGCTCCTGGTTTGGAGGAGCCATGTCTGATCCAGCCGTGCCCACACGCAAGGGTCGTAAAGTTTAAGTTTTCCTGGCAGAGCCAGGACTCAGGCTTCCATAACTATTAGCCATCTCCCTTAAAGGCATTTGCATGGTCATCTTACTGTTCTTCAGGTCAGCAGCTGACAGACTGCTCCGTGCACCCTGCCTCAGCTTTCTTCTGTGGGAAAGCCGCTCTGCACAGCCCCTTCCCTACCAGCAGTTGGATGAGAAGCTAAAACATCGTGAAGGCAGAGCTCACATCAGCAACACTGGGTTTTGCCAGGTGTGGCAGGATTAGGAGCTGGGAGAGACAGGCCTTGGTTCGCCTTCTTTGTCCTTGTCTCAGAGGGGAATGTAGAACCCCAACCTTCCTCCTCAGTTCCCCAGGTGAGACCGGACTGTCCTGGGCCACTCAGAATAGTAGCTGCTGCCAGCAGTAGCCGGTGCTGAGGAACATCCACTAGTTAGCCTATGCTTGTGTCAGTCTTTGTGTGGGTCACCTCAAGAGACACTCAGTGTCCTCCTACACAGTTACTGGAGTCTAGCTGAGGTAACCCGGGCCTGAGGCAACTAAAGGACATGTTTAAGGAGGCAGTTGTGGGATCCCAAGGCACCAGCTAGCCAGTCCACTGTAGAGAAGTGTAACTCCAGGGACCAGCAAGATGGTTAATCGGGTAAGGTCATTCACCATGCAAGCCTGGTGACCTGAGTTGGATTCCTAGAACCGAAGTGAAGGTGGAAGGACAGGACCTACTCTGCAAGGTTGCCCTCTGACCTCCACACCTTAACTGTGACATGCACACACACAACAACAATAAATAAATATCTTTTAAGGAAATAAGAACTCAGGAAAGTGGCCTCCTCGTAGCTCTTGTTTTAGCCCCCCCCCCCAGCTTGACGAGGTGTGGGCACAGCCTGTTCCAGGTCCTCCAGGATGTTACTGTCATTGAACGTTTATGATGAGCAAGAGAGGCAAGTAGGTGCTACAGTGTGCATTTTGCAGAGACACCCAGGGACTTGCTCAAGGTGACCTGGTACCCAGGCTGACTGCGTCTGCAGTCTGTGCCCCTCGCTGAGGGAATAGCACTGAACACCCTTCACAGACACTAAATTTATATTTCCTGGCCTCCCCTTCCAAAATGGGTACACTAATTGCAGTTTTTTTTTTTTAATAGTGATCATCAAGAACACATTTCTTTAATGTTTGCGTTTTCTATTCTGCATAATGCCAAAATAAAACATTGATCAAATCCACAAGCTCAAACCCAGTATGGCCATGTAAATTAGGAAGGGTTAGGAAGACATTACACTAAACGGAAAGAAAAAAGTGTTGATTAGGGACTTATTTTTGTGTGAGATTAAAATGTGAATCGTTAAAATAGGACTATATTTTGGGTTCTGCATTCCCTTCTTGTTGGAGCCATAGCAATGGCTCCTGGTTTGGAGCACTGAAACCCTTCCCAGCTCTGAAACCTGGTACCCAGAACGGATTCTACTTTCCCACAGCATTTCCAAAAGTGTGGTCAGAGCTCCTCTCAGTCTGCCCGCCTGTCCAATCTTCAGAAATCCCCTCGAGAATGGCATCTTAGTCTTCATTTCTCCTAATTGTAAATGGTAGCAGTTAGCTGTACGACCAATAACCAAAATTCAAAGAGTGAATAGCAGCTGGGAAGTCCCTTGGGAAAGGCTAGCCACCTACAGAACTTGATTTGGTACAAGGGGGCGGTAGTAGATAGGTTTGCAGGGAGAAGCCACTCCTGGAGTGTTTCCAAGGTTCATGCTCAGTTTGGAAGAAAAAAATAGCAATATCAACAGCCCAAAATACACAGTTAAATTAAGTTGTTAATTAAAGTGTCTTTAAAAATGGCTGAGATGAGAGACAAAGGCCCATTGTTTGGTACAATTGTTGACTGCATATCTCTGTGAGGAAGGGTGTGGGGAGGACAGTGAGGCCTGTGGTGTTTTTTTAAAAATTAATCACCCATCCTTACAGAGTTCCAAAGCCCCCCCCCTCGAATTGTGAACTTGGTTCGAAGCCAGAGAGGGGTGGAACCAGTTTGTGATAGGTTTTTGTTGTTTTGGGGTGCAGGGGTTGGCTAATGACCTACTCAGTAGACACTTCAAATGCCAGGTGTACAACACCCACCATTCATTCTCTCCAACACTGACGTGTTGAGATAATTTTGTGGAGCTTGTCGGACCTTGGAGTGATACCTAGATGTATTTTTAAAGAAGGGGCAACTCTATACTGTCCCAGTTCCTTATAGAGAGCGGACACTTCTGACCAACACTAATGAAGTTTGTTATTTTTAGCACCTACAACCCCAGCCTGGGTTCTGAGTGAGTTAGAAAGTTGTATTCTCCTCCCCAGTTGTTGTTGTATGAGATCGGATCTTGCTGTGTGGCCCAGGCTGGCTTCAAATCTCCCATCCTCAGCCTCCTATCATGACATCTAGCTGATAGGTAAAATGTCAATGAAGAGTCTGTGCGGGAAAGTTTTGCACATTTAAAATGTAGCTACCGAAGGATGTCACTTTCTTCAAATAATTCCAAAGTGTAAGTGGAAAGAGATGTTGAAAGGATTTTTCCACAGAAGCAGGATGACACTGAGGCTCAGGGATCATCCTCTGATGGCCTCTCCCGTCAAACAGCAGGTCACATTGCAGCTGCATTTCAGCAGCGTGGTGCAGCTTCCTAACCTAATGTAGTTTTTGTGGCCCCTTTGCTCGTACCAAACTAATCCATGAGCCCCCTCTGGAGGATCTATAGTGTTATCCCGTCTGTTGTTGAGATGTTTTTGTGTAGGCTGGGTATGTTTACCGTTAGACAGTTTATATTGTTTAGAGGGGAATGGGCAAGGAAGATGGCTCACTGGGTGGAAGTGTGTGTCACACGAGCCTGACAGCTTGCTTGAGTTTGATTCTGGGGACACACAAAGTAGAAGGAAAAGGCAGCTCCAAAATGTTGTCTTCGGACACATGCATGCATGCTGTGTATGTGCACATGTGTGCCTGGTGCCCACAGAGGTCAAAAGAGTGTCAGATCCCCTGGAACTGTGGTTCCAGATAATTGTGAATTACCACATAGGTGCTGGGAACTGAACCCTGGTCCTTTACAAGAGCAACAAGTGCTCATAACGACTGATCCATCTCTCCAGTCCCCAAACTTTTTCTTAGTACATTACTCTTCTTTACTTTCTGTTGTTTTGTTGTTGACAGTGTCTCAGGTAGCCAGTCCTCCTGCCTCTACCTCCCAAGTGCTGGGATCATAGGTGTGCACCACAATGACCTCCTCTCTCTCTCTCTCTCTCTCTCTCTCTCTCTCTCTCTCTCGCATTTAGAAACTACTTTGTTGAGATCTGCTGAACCTAGGAGAGCTATATAAAGTATATAATTTTATCAGTTTGGAAGTAACTGCATACCCGTGAGCTCACCTCTGTAATAAACGTAATGTCCATATTCACCACCTCAGAATATTCTGTCATCATCTTTGTTAGTATCATTGATATTAGTTTAACTATGAGAACATTTTCCCCACCGTCTACCCACTTAGCAAACTGTGAGTGTACTACCATACAGCATCTGTTACAGCACCCTCTTCCAGCTCCACATGGTGCAGACCCATACAAATCCAACTTAAACAAAATCTTATAATAATAATTAAAGAAACAAAACCATGGAGCCCTCACATGTCCGGTCAGGTGCTGTGCCCCATCCCTGTCACAGGTCAGCGGTCTGTTCTATTACCTTACCTCTGTCTGTCTCTCCTTACCTCTGTGGCTGTCACAGCTCCTTCTGTAGCTATTAGCTAAAGCATCTCATCTCTCTGCTTCTTATCCCTTTTTCCCTCCAGGCGATGTGCTGTATGAACTCCTTCAGCATATTCTGAAGCAGAGGAAACCTCGAATTCTCTTCTCGCCTTTCTTCCACCCTGGGAACTCTATCCACACGAAACCAGAGGTCTTGCTGCATCAGAACCACGAAGAAGGTACTGGATGACGCTTCTCTTTGCTTGCTTATGGTTTAGACAAACCAAGGGGTCAAATAGTTAACTGATGGGCTGTTCTTACTGCTGTAAGTTCATTTTTCATTCAGGAAGCATGGATTGAGTGTATACAGTGTGTATACACTGGGGGAGATGCATAATACCGTTAGCTCTCTGGAGTTCACAATCCACAGTGTAAACCCGGATTACAATAATATACACCGGGGTGTAGCATGATGGAAGATGACGCCCAGGTACAGGAAGCACGTTCACCTTATAAAAAGCATGAGTCTAGAGGAGTCCCTGAAGGTTCTGATAAACAGCAAGAATATTCCAGTTAGGTAGGGATAAGGCCTCAGAATAGAGAGCAGTAAGATGACTTAATCGATGAGCCCATTCATCATAAAAATTTTCAACTATATATAATCTATATAGAATAAAATAAATAAAGCCTTGTGGGCCATCTCTCCCCCTGCTTTAGCAGTATGAACGTTTTCCAATATAGAACTAATCCAAGGAGGTTAGCCCGGAACCAAAGTGGAGACTTGAGATTCTGTGGCTGTGGAGAGAAGTGAAGGTAAGGTGTTCCTTGAAGATGTTTGAGCAAGGTGTTCCTAAAAGCTGAGGGAAGGATGAAAACCAGTCTGGGGGAAGTTGGTGTTGGGTAGGGGCTTTCTCCATCTTGCATCAAAGACCGTTTGCTGGAATGAGCTCAATATCAAGACTCCTGTCATAGCTGCTGTTCCTCGTGGGACCCACAGGACCAGTAGACATCGCAAGACCATGGCGTGTGGGGTCCTGGTCAAGCAGGTGTTGGGTGTAGGGCTATAAAATGTGACTTTGTTTGCAATGCCACTGAACAGCAGGGTGTGTGATAGCGTTTGAGTAGAATCATATCTCCCAGGGCCATCGAACCCCCACCCCCGCCTCCCAGTGGAGCAAGCAGCCAGTATGCGGATGTGTGAACACTACCCTGTGGGTCTTTTCCACACGTATTTTCTTTAAAACCAATTTCAAGATCCTATTCCTTGGGAAGTTTTGTTGACTAGTGAATCACTCGCAAACACAGGACTGCTGCTTTTCTTTTGCGGTCAGACTGTTAAAATCTTGCGGTTGGTATTCTCTTAATTAGCACTTTACAAAAGACCTAACTCCAGGTGGGGGACTGGGAGGGGGGCTTGTCTCTCAGCAGGTCCTCTCCAGCATATGAGACAGAGAATAATGCCAGTGTTTCTGGCATGTTCCCACTCTCATCTCCTCTATCCTCCAGTAACCCAGGCTAAATTTAGCAACCGTCCCTTCCCCTCAATTCGGGTTTGATGTTCCTCTGCTCTTCTGGCCTTTCTCATTTCCGGCTTGCATAATGGCCAAGAGCCACTCCAGAGAAGAGGAGGTGGACTCACTGAAGCTTGACAGTAAGGCAGGCATTGTGTTATCAGCCTGGCTCTTCAGACACACGGGATATGGGATGGGTTCCCCCTCCTTTTTTCTCTTACTATTTAAAAATATTTATTTTTTCCTTTGAAATTTCTGCCCCCATTTTCTTCCCAAATATGATTGAAAGCATGTGGTTCCTTCCTACTTGGTCTGATTTGACTCAGAAGTAGATGAGTCTGTGTGTGTGTGTGTGTGTGTGTGTGTGTGTGTGAGAGAGAGA